GTCCTCCTTCTCTCTCTCAGAGAGGTTGGTGAGGTTCAGCCATCGTGCACGTTCTTGAAGCACCATCATGCCCATAGCTTTAGCCGTAGCCTGGACCGCGCAGCGCTGCACACGCAGGCAGATGTCGGTCAGTACGGTGATTTCCTCCCACACCTCCGGGTCCGGCTTCGTATTCATGTCCTCACAGAGCTCGGCTTGGTACGCCGAGAGCATGGAGGAGACGTTCAAAGCTCGGACCAAGATGGCGGCAGCCTTGTACGCCCTCTCGTTCAGCGCCGACTGGAAGCGGTCCGCCTTCGCAGGGAGAGCGGGAGGCCTGGAGGAAGTTGCCGAGAGCCGTGGGTGCAGGTGTGCTGCAACCAGCGGTTCCATCGGCGGCATGCGAAGCATGCCAGCCTTCTCCATCCCCTCGAAGTCCAGCGAGGAGGCTCCTTGGACAGGAGACCTGGAGCTGAAAGGGTGTTTGTCCCAGGAGGACCTCACTTCTTGGAGAAGCTCCGGGAAGGAGAGGCTTTGCCGCCCTTGTGGCCTGAGGCAGCTTCTTTCCCTCGTAGCGGGACCTGACAGCCTCAGTGACCACGGTGGGCCAAGGGATGTTGAGCCTGGTCGCAGCGCGTCGGCAGACTGACTGCATGTCGAGGTGGGCGGCCGGAGAAGCCGCTCCATCCCTGGTAGAGGACGGAAAGCTAGGCATGGAGGCCTGAGCGATGGGGAGAAAAACATCGTCATCCTCGTCCTCCTCTGAAATGAGGAGTTCCGAGGTGTCCTCGTCGTCTCCGTAGTCCAACTCCAACACGTCCTCGACGGGGTGGCTCGGACCGGCCAGTTCGAGCTGTGAGCCCCAGCTGAGTTCGGCACACGGTTCTGGCTCCGGGAGGACATGTTCGCTGGCGTCCCCAGGCGGTGGCCCAGGGACCGGCAGGCAAGGGTCCTTCCCCGACAGGCTAGCTTGGCGCGCTAGCCGCCGGCGAAGGCTCTTCAGGGTGAAGCAAGCGCAGCTCTCACATGACCCGGGGACTTCCAATGCCAGCTGGGCGTGTTCCAGCCCGAGGCAGCTCGAGCAGGCCTTGTGCGGGTCTTTGCTTGAGATTTTGTTCCCACAGGTACAAAGGCGAGCTCCTGCGCCGTCGACTCCTCTGGTGGGAGGAGCGGCTTCCATGCTGGCTAACTGGTGTGTTAGCAAGAGAACGAACAGATGCACTGGAGTGTGAAGCTGCTCGTTATGCCCCGCCCGAACCTATGGTGAAGGTCAGGACAGGACGGTAAGTTAACGTTCGGCGACGGAGAGAATATTAGCTGGCTCCGTCTGTGAACAGTTGAGTTAACTTACCTTAGAGATAAGCGACCACCGAAGCGAGAAGAGGTGATTGAATGGTGCGTGCGTTGGGACGCTTGCTACTTATAGTAGCAGGTGACGCGTACGTCACGGTCACTGGCCAATCAGGATTGGCGTATTGTGATAAGTGTTTCTGAGGAATCCGCGGAGTGGCGTATCCCATAGTGAGACATCGAAACGAATGTTAAGAAAGAGAACATTGCATAATCAAAGACTTGCAGGAAAATACTTATCAAGAGGAGTTGAAACTTTTGAGCAAAGGGATTCGGCTACTATCTAACAATCGACTATACTCACTTGATGCATTCATTGATCAAGACGGTATCCTCAGGGTGGGAGGAAGGCTGAGCATCTCCTCTCTTCCCAGCTCCATCAAGCACCCTGCGATCATCCCCAAGAATCATCCCATCACAAAGATGTTGATCGCTCACCATCACGAAAGAATGGAACACCAAGGTAAAGGCCTCACCATTAATGATATTAGGTCCAACGGTTACTGGATCCCAGGAATGAACCGGGTTGTAGCATCCTATGTTTGCCACTGTGTCACCTGTAGACGGCACCGGAAACCAACTGAAGAGCAAAGGATGGCTGATTTACCCCCTGAACGTGTGGAACCATCGCCCCCCTTTTCCTTTTGCGGAATGGATTGCTTTGGCCCTTTTGTTACCAAGCAAGGAAGAAAGGACAGCAAGAGGTACGGTCTTTTCACTTGCCTCAGCTCCCGGGCCATCCATATCGAGATGCTTGACAGCATGTCATGTCAGCATGTCAAGTCATGTTGGAGGGGTGTGGGAGAGACAGATTAGGACCGTGAGAAGTGTCCTAGGGTCTACACTTGCCTTGTCTTCTGGTAGGCTAAACGATGCCTCATTGAGGGCCTTCTTCTATGAAGCCATGTCAATCGTCAACTGTCGCCCTCTGACCGTTGACAACCTCAGTGACCCCCATTGTCATGAACCACTCATGCGCAATCATCTCCTGACTATGAAATCTGCCAAGGCTTTACCTCCCCCTGGAAACTTTGTCAGGGAGGACATGTACAGTAGGAAAAGGTGGCGGCACGTTCAATACCTGGCAGAACAGTTTTGGAGTAGATGGCGAAAGGAATATCTTGCCAGTATTGCTCTCAGACAAAGGGGCGACGGTGGCACAGGAGTTAAGTGCTCGCCTCACAATCGGAAGGTCGCAGGTTCGGGACCCGCTCAGTCTGTCGCTGTTGTTGTGTCCTTGGGCAAGACACTTAACCCACATTGCCTGCTGGTGGTGGTCGGAGGGACCTGTGGCGCCAGTGCTCGGCAGCCTCACCTCTGTCAGTGCGCCCCAGGGCAGCTGTGGCTACATTGTAGCTCATCCCCACCAGTGTGTGAATGTGTGTGTGAATGGGTGAATGACTGATTGTGTTGTAAAGCGCCTTGGGGGATTCCAGGACTCTAGAAGGCGCTATATCAAATACAGGCCATTTACCATTTAAAAGTGGCACACTCCAAGAAGAAACATGCAAGTTGGAGATATTGTACTCGTCAAAGGAGATGATGCGCACAGAAATGAGTGGAGATTGGGGAGAGTTTCAGGAACTACTACCGATAAAGACGGACTCATGAGAAGAGTGAAGATCTGCCTTGGTGACAGAAACCTTGGTAAAAAGGGGGAGCGTTTCCACAAGATATCGGAAATTGAGCACTCAGTCCAAAACCGAGATGAAGAAGAAGAAGCTCTGCATCTATTGCGGTATAAATGTCGATGATTGCGGCTGTGCTGAACTCTTTGCAGGTAAAGAGTCACGGGTGAACCTTGCTGTGTCTTAACTGCTTCCTCTTATTGGTTTGTTTTAATGTATTTAATTTTTATTGATCTATTGCAGCTGTGCTGAACTCTTTGCAGAACTCCTCGCAGAAGCTCACAGGGGTGCTAAACAGGGGAGACCAGGAATCACTGATCAGAAGGACCAAACACCTGTCCAGCACTGAGTCGGACGGCTGGAGGCACTGGACCGATTGGGGGAAGCTCAAGTCATCGTCACTACCTGGCTTCATACTTGTTGGTTTGGTGAAGACAATTCATCTTCCCCCTGGACTTTAACTGGTCTCCCTGCCGTTTTTGTTGGCACAACCTGCACAGACTGAGCTTTTATATGGACTCTTAGCCTCTGTCATTTTTAATAAATTATCTATTTTTTGAAGCAATCTGATTCTGTGCTTCATTGCCCACATTAATGCTGGTTGGTCAGATTCACTTCATGTAACATCGTGGGGGCTGATCTACGGGTGTTACACCCGCCTGCCTGCTGATGGTGGTCGGAGGGACCGATGGCGCCAGTGCTCGGCAGCCTCGCCTTCATCAGTGCGCCCCATGGCAACCATGGCTACATCGTAGCTCATCACCACCAGTGAGTGAATGGGTGAATGACTGTTAAGCTCCTTGGGGGGTTCCAGGACTAAAAGGCGCTATATCAAATACAGGCCATTTACCATGTATATATTAACTTTGATTCAAAGACAATTGCTCAAACAAAAACACTTTTTTTTTCTTTTCAGATACAACTTGCCAGATTTAGTAGAAAATGTTTCATTCATTAGATTGTACTCCAAACTATCATGGCAGAAAGGACACTACATGCAGTGTATTCCTCAAACATTTCATTCGAAGTAAATCAATTGTCCATTATGAGATGTTAAACATCTCAGTGAAAATGTATATGTATAAATACACACACACACACACACACAAAAATATATATACTGTATGTGTGTGTATATATATATATATATATATATATATATATATATATATATATATATATACTTTTCACCCTAAATCAGTCAGGCAGATCATGGTCACTGGTTTACACACCTTCATCTAAAATAGGGGAGACAGGCTGTGGACCTCTACCTTGCTCTATAGAGTCCTTTCATGTTGCATGCTTCCTACATAGAGTGTAGAGAGTTAATTCATTTGTAGTAGTATTTTCTCAGGGTAAAAATGCAAAGAAAAATTTGATTGTGAAAAGTATTTCTATATTCAGACTTTATTCACTGTTTGAATGATTAAATATTCAATCAATCCATTGTTGCTTTTGTCCAATCACCCACCAGATTAGGATTATTTCCCCTGTTTAATTGGAGGCTAAAATATTCTCTTCTACATGGTTACAGTACCAGAGTGTAGGTCCAGACTGTAGCCACTGGAAGGTGTTAATTCCCCATTTCATTCATAAAGTCAGTCATTCAGTCGAGTGCTGTAGCTGGTTGGGTTTAGCACTTTGACTCCACATAGCATTGTTTCATGAATACATTTGTACTGTTTTAGCTAAAAAGACTCAGTATGAGTTCCCCTGTTACTAACACCAAAATTCAATTTTTTTAAGAAACACTTGTAAACTTTAAAAATGTGGTTTTCATCAATGGTTTCCCCTCATCTCCTTCTCCTTCCCCTTGTTATTAATGTTCCCAAGAAGACAAAAACAAAGATTAGGGTTTTTTTTTAAGCTTCATTGGAACGAAGAAGCTAAAATAATCTCTTTTAGATTGTTTTTAGTGGCTTCTCGCCACTAGAAGGGGCCAAATATGCATCTTACATTTTTTTTAAATTGATTTAACAAAACCACAGTGTAGTTACAGCTTATCGCCACTCGAGAGCAATAATATCTTCTAAGAAACGGATAGACACACTAACCGGAAGTATTTTTACCACTTCCTGTTGCAAGCATAACAAATCGAAATCGCGCTTTCTTAACAGCCTAAATGAGTTTCTTAATATTACGTTACGTTTATTTACATATAGTGGTTTAATTATACGGAGGTGGTAAACGCTGGTTTAAAATTAATTCGTTTTCCAATGTTAAACGATCAAGCTAACACCGTTAGCTAATGGCAGCTACTGTTTCATTTGTCGCCGCTCCTGTTTCAAGGTTTGTTATGTTAAAATTTATTCTTTAAATAACAGTTAATGGATGTGTCAGCTCAGGTGGAACAACGCATAAAAATCAGACATTAATGCATTAAAGTTTAATCTTGTTAGAACTCGCTAACTCTTTAGAACGCAAAGAAACACGGACTAGATATTACTATTTATTATTGTTTTATTGATCTGCACCACAACTGTATTCTCTTATTTTTTCTTCCTTATTCAGTCAGAAGCAGCGTAAAGCTGCTCAGAGAAAAGAAAGAAGAAAACGGAAACGCCAAGCTCTTGCTCAGGCCAGGGAATGTGGTAACAAGGCCATTGAACATATTACCAAAAGTCATTACTTTTCTTTTTATTCACTGTTTCTGCATCAAATGTCAAATCTGCTGTATTTTAGATCTGAAAAATGAAACCGAAGAAGAAGGAAATGATGGAAATTGTGAGGATGATGCTGCTGAGACAGAAAGGTATGACATTTTTTAAATCACTGACAGGCAACAGGGAAACCTAACTTTTGTTCCCCCCAGATTGCGGCAACACGAGGAGTGGTTGGAGAGAGAGCGGCTGGCCCAGGAGGAATTCAGGCTGAGGACAGAGAGGGAGGATGCTGCAAAGAAAAAGAAAGAGGAAGAGGAGGTAATTCCAAAACTGAATGAATTGGGTTTAAACATAACCAATTTTCTAAATCTACTCCACTTTTAGCCTTACACAGTTATATGGTCAGATCGTTCACATGCTGTTTGCTTGTTAAATGTGATTAAATTCTAAGAATTTCTTCCTGCAAAGAAAATAACATTTTGCTAATTCTTTTGCCCCAATTTATCGTTGTAGTACACATCAAGCATGATGTACTGTAGTTTATGTAGACTGTATCATACATAGATTCTGTTAATAATAAAGTGTGAGTGTATTTGAGCCTAAACTGTTTTTGTGATCACAGCGAATGATAAAAGAAGAGTGGGAGTCCCAGCAGAAGAGAGAGCAAGAGGAAAGGGAGCACAGGCTGCAGGAGAAGCGGAACAGAGAGGTGAAACGGACTCCAGGACGATAGATACAAAAAGAAATATATCCTCTGATTGGTGGAATATTTCAGTGTTAGGATAATCCCACAAATGCCCGTCTCACCAGCTTGAATATTTTTGTGAAATGTACTTTTGTTTTGTAATTGTTTATTTGCATTTCCTTGACTGAGCGGCGACCACACTACTCCTTAACAAAGATACACTCAAAGAGAAAACCTCTTACTCCTCCTTCATCTTGTGCAGCAAGAATGTATCTTTTAAATTTGTGCCGTGACTCAGTACAGTTGATTCAGAATTCTTGATACCGTTTCATGGGATCTTAACCTCTGACATCAGACATGATGCAGTATGTTGACTTCTTCTCATTTTCACCTGCAATGTGTTTACACCATTTGTAGGAGGCCATTCAGAAAATGTTGAACGAAGCTGAAAATCAGGTAAAAACAACAAACACAAAGTCTTCGGACAGAGCAGGAAACTGTTGTAGAGCCAGTGTCACCTACATCTTAAATGTGTACTGAATCTGTTCAGCTAGAGAACAGAGGACCACGGATGAATACCGAAGCCCCAGCTGCTGTCAGCTCAGAGAACTTTGGAACGGAGCGTGATGTTGCCAACTGTCCTTTCTTCCTTAAGACTGGAGCATGTCGATTTGGGGACAGGTACGTCAGTTACATTTAAACATGCATGTGATGTCTTCCCATGGGCTCACCACTCGTGGGAGGGGCCAAAGGGGCCAGGTGCAGTGTGTGACGGGTGGTAGTCGAGGGCTGGGGCCTTGGCGGTCTGGTCCTCGGCTACAGAAGCTGGCTCTTGGCACATGGAATGTCACCTCTCTGGTGAGGAAGGAGCCTGAGTTGGTGTGTGAGGTTGAGAGGTTCCGATTAGATGTAGTCGGACTCACCTCAACGCATGGCTCTGGCTCTGGAACCAGTTTCCGTGAGAGGGGTTGGACTTTCTACCACTCTGGAGTTGCTCCCACTGAGAGGCGCCGAGCAGGGGTGGGCATACTAGTTGCCCCCCATCTTGGTGCCTGTACGTTGGGGTTTACCCCAGTGAATTACCCCGGCTTTCCACAGGAACCGTCAGCAGCACGTTACTGCAGCAGCACGTCATAGCTGCTGATAGGAACCGCTGTGGTCAACAGAACCTTTTCCACTGGAGCCGTCAGCAGCCGTCAGCAGCGCGAGTCGGCCGCGTCTCAGGAGCAGCATGTCGCGGCCTTTACGCGCCGGTTCTATTTTCTACGCGCGACGCCTCTGAAACGGGTCAAGTTCGACATTTTTGGGGAAGGAAAGACAGGAAATCGGACGCGGAAATGGAGAGAAGCTCTCGAGATTTTCAGAATAAAGAACGTACTGCCTTCCGGTTGCTTTACTTTTAAAAAACGTTACTAACTGTGCGTCCCCGTGAGAAGTTATCACCTAGCTAGCGGTCTCCTTTGTTTTTTGGGTCCGTATTGGCGATTATAAAACGGACAGAACATAAAACACAAACCATATTGTAAATTTCTCCTGCTTGTTGTTGTGTTTACTGACGAAGTCACTCGTGTGACTTCGTGCTCTGTCGGTGACGGCTGCTCCCCTGCTGCTTCGCGTCTCGTGGGAAGGGCCAAGCAGCAGCTAGACGTGCTGCTGCAGTAACGTGCTGCTGACGGCTCCCGTGGAAACCCGGGGTCAGAGGGTAGCGTCCCTCTGCCTACGGGTGGGGGGACGCGTTCTGACTGTGGTCTGTGCTCATGCACCAAACTACAGTTCAGACTACCCACCCTTTTTGGAGACCTTGGAGGGGGTGCTGGAAAGCGCTCCTTCCGGTGACTCCCTCGTTCTGCTGGGGCACTTTAACGCTCACGTGGGCAACGACAGTGAGACCTAGAGAGGTGTGGTTGGGAGGATCGGCCCCCCTGATCTGAATTCGAGTGGTGTTTTGTTATTGGACTTCTGTGCCAGTCATGGATTGTCCATAATGAACACCATGTTCAGACATAAAGGTGTCCATATGTGCTCTTGGCACCAGGATACCTTAGGCCGCAGCTTGATGATCGACTTTGCTGTTGTTTCATCTGACCTGCGGCCGCATGTCTTGGACACTCGGGTGATGAGAGGGGCGGAGCTGTCAACTGACCACTACCTGGTGGTGAGTTGGCTCAGATGGTGGGGGAGGATGCCAGTCAGACCAGGCAGGCCCAAACGTACCGCGAGGGTCTGCTGGGAACATCTGGCAGAGTCTCTTGTCAGAAGGAGCTTCAATTCCCACCTCTGACAGAACTTCCAAAATGTTCCGGGGGAGGCGGGGGACATTGAGTCTGAATGGACCCTGTTCCGTGCCTCCATTGTTGAGGCGGCCGACCGGAGCTGTGGTCGCAGGATCGTCTGTGCCTGTTGTGGTGGCAACCCCCGAACCTGCTGGTGGACACCAGCGATTAGGGATGCTGTCAAGCTGAAGAAAGAGTCCTATCAGGTCTTTTTGACCTGTGGGACTCCAGAGGTAGCTGACGGGTACCGGTAGTCCAAGCGGAACGCGCCTCGGGTGGTCACCAAGGCAAAAACCCGGACATGGGAGGAGTTCGGTGAGACCATGGAGCAAGACTTCCGTACGGCTTAGAGGAGATTCTGGTCCACCATCCGGCGCCTCAGGGGGGGAAAGCAGTGTGCTACCAACACTATTTATAGTGGGGACGGTGTGCTACTGACCTCTACTCAGGACGTTGTGGATCGGTGGACAGAATACTTCGAAGACCTCCTCAATCCCACCGACACGTCTTCCAGTGAGGAAGCAGAGTCTGGGGACTTTGGGTTGACCTCTCAAATCTCTGGTGCTGAGGTCACTGAGGTGGTTAAAAAGCTTCTTACCCTCATCTTTGTTTAAAAGTGCTTTTCAGTCCATCGGTCCCAGCGTGCTCTCTATAATTAATGCTTCTCTGGTTTCTGGTAAGGTCCCTGCTTACTTTAAGAACGCTGTAATCCACCCGCTTCTTAAAAAACCGAGTCTTGACCCCTCTCTTCATAGCAGCTTCAGACCCATCTCTAAACTTCTGTTCATCTCCAAGATCTTGGAAAAGGTTGTGGCTAAACACCTCACAGCTGCTCTTGATGAACATAACATCTATGATAGCTTCCAGTCAGGTTTTCGTAGAGCTCATTCTACTGAAACAGCTCTTCTTAGGGTCTCTAATGACCTTCTGACTCACAGTGATGCAGGGGACTGTTCTGTTCTGGTCCTGCTGGACCTGACTGCAGCCTTTGACACTGTTGACCATCACCTACTGGAGAGGCTGACAGACTGGGTAGGCCTATCAGGATCTGCTCTGGAGTGGTTCTCCTCTTATCTCTCTGAGCGCTCCTTTTCTGTGGCCGTCTCCAAGTTTAGGTCCTCCACCACCTCTCTTACACATGGTGTCCCACAAGGTTCTGTGCTGGGGCCTCTGCTCTTCCTCCTCTATCTGCTTCCTCTTCAGCACATCCTGAGCTCATTCAAAGGAATCTCCTACCATCTTTATGCAGATGACATCCAACTGTACATCTCCTTTAAGCCCCATGAGATGTCTAAGCTGCAGCTGTTACACACCTGCTTAGACTCTATTAAAACCTGGATGGCTGGGAGCTTTCTACAGCTGAAGAAGATAAGACTGAGATCCTCATCTGTGCCCCAGACAAGCTGGTTCCCAAAGTCAGAGACACTCTTGGTCAGCTTGCTTCTCACACCAAACCCTATTGACAGGAATCTTGGTGTGACCTTTGACCCAGCTCTCACCCTGGATTCTCATGTCAGTTCTTTTGTTCGCTCTTCCTTCTTCCAACTCAGGAACATTGCTAAGCTGAGTCCCATTCTGTCTCTCTCTGAACTTGAGACAGTTCTCCACACCTTCATCTCCTCACGCTTAGACTACTGTAACTCTCTTTTCACGTGTCTGAGCAGAACCTCCCTGAACCGTCTACAGGTGGTTCAGAATGCCTGTGCTCGGCTTCTGACCAAGTCCTCCAAACACACCCACATCACCCCGCTTCTCCTCCAGCTTCACTGGCTGCCAGTCAACTTCAGGGTTCATTTCAAGATCCTGGTTCTGGTCTATAGGACCTTACATGGACAAGCACCATCTTACATTGGTGATCTTCTTAGTCCCTTCACCCCCAGCAGGTCCCTGAGGTCCAGTGATCAAAGCCTACTGGTTGTGCAGCACCAGGCTAAAGACCAAAGGTGACAGATCATTTGCTGCTGTGGCCCCCAGACTCTGGAACTCTCTCCCCCTGAGCCTGAGATCAGTGGACTCAGTGATCTCCTTTAAAAAGCAGCTGAAGACTCACCTGTTCAAGCTGGCTTTTGTATGACCTTCTTCAACCCCTCTCTCTTTGTTTTTAATCACAATAGCCGATTTTTGCTCATTTTAAATATATTTTTAAACATTTTCTAAATGCCTTTTAATATTTTTACTTTGTGATTTTTATCTTGAGAGGCGCTATAGAAATGATATTTTCTTCTTCTTCTTCTTCTCCTTCTTCTCCTCCTCCTCCTCCTCCTCCTCCTCCTTCTCCTCCTCGGCAAGGCTCCAGGGGTGGATGAGATCCGCCCGGAGTTCCTTAAGGCTCTGGATGTTGTGGGGCTGTGTTGGCTGACGCGGCTCTGCAATATCGCATGGACATCAGGGGCAGTCCCACTGGACTGGCAGACCGGGGTGGTGGTCCCCTTATTTAAATAGAGGAACAGCAGGGTGTGTTCCAACTACAGGGGGACCACACTCCTGAGCCTTCCTGGTAAGGTCTATTCAGGGGTTCTGGAGAGGAGGGTCCGTCGGATTGTTGAACCTCAGATTCAGGAGGAGCAATGTGGTTTTCGTCCTGGCCGTGGAACACTGGACCAGCTCTATACCCTTAGGGGGATCCTGGAGGGTGCGTGGGAATTTGCCCTACCGGTCTACATGTGTTTTGTGGATTTGGAGAAGGCGTTTGACCGCGTCCCTCGGGGGGTCCTGTGGGAGGTACTCCGGGAGTATGGTGTACCAGGCCCTCTGATACGAGCTGTTAGGTCCCTGTATGACCGGTGTCAGAGCTTGGTCCACATTGCCGGCAGTAAGTTGGGCTCATTCCCAGTGAGATTGGACTCCGCCAAGGCTGCCCTTGGTCACGGATTCTGTTCATAACCTTTATGGACAGGATTTTTAGGCGCAGCCAAGGTGTGGAGGGCATTCGTTTTGGTGGCCTGAGGATCAGGTCTCTGCTTTTTGCAGATGATGTGGTCCTGTTGGCTTCACCAGAACGTGATCTTTAGCTTTCGCTGGAGCGGTTCGCAGCCGAGTGTGAAGCAGCTGGGATGAGAATCAGCTCCTCTAAATATGAGACCATGGTCTTGATTTGGAAAAGGGTAGAATGCCTTCTCCGGGTCAGGAATGAGGTCCTGCCCCAAGTGGAGGAGTTTAAGTATCTCGGGGTCTTTTTCACGGGTGAGGGAAAACTGGAGCGTGAGATCGATAGGCAGATTGGTGCTGCATCTGCAGTGATGCGGGCGTTGTACCGGTCTGTCGTGGTGAAGAGAGCTGAGTCAGAAGGCGAAGCTCTCAATTTACCAGTCGATCTACGTTCCTACCCTCACCTTTGGTCATGAGCTTTAGGTAGTGACCGAAAGAATGAGATCGCAGATACAAGCGGCCGAAATGAGTTTTCTCCGAAGAGTGGCTGGGCTCTCCCTTAGAGATAGGGTGAGAAGCTCGGTCATTTGGGAGGGGCTCGGAGTAGACCCGCTGCTTCTCCACATCGAGAGGAGCCAGTTGAGGTGGTCGGGCATCTGGTCAGGATGCCTCTTGGATGCCTCCCAGGTGAGGTTTTCTGGGCACGTCCAAACGGGAGGAGACCTAAAGGTAGACCCAGGACACGTGGAGGGACTATGTCTCTCACCTGGCCAGGGAACACCTTGGGATTTCACCGGAGGAGCTGGCCCAAGTGGCTGGGAAGAGGGAAGACTGGGCCTCTCGCCATAGGCTACTGCCCCCGCGACCCGACTTCGGATGAGCGTATGAAAATGGATGGATGGATGGATGGAATGTAAGGCGAGGCAGCTTTATTTGTATAGCACATTTTATGTGCTATACAAATGTTCTTTCCGGTAGCGAGAACAACACGAACATTAAAATCAACGTGACGGCACATTTAAAATACTCAAAGAAATTTAAGCCATATTAAAAAAATTAATTTCAGATTTAAGAATCAGAACAAATACAAAGTTAAAGGACGAGAAGTTACAATGCAGAAGCTGCAGCATAACAAACAGTCATTCAAAGGCCTATGAAAACATGAAGGTTTTCAATTGTGATTTAAAAGTTTCTAGAGTTGGGGCACATTTGAGGTCATGAGGAAGCTGCTTATATCTGTGAGCAGCATGTAAATGATAAATGACTCACACTTGTATAGCACCTTTCAGATTAAGGACTCCAAAGCGCTTTACACCACAGTGTATCATTCATCCATTCACACACACATTCACACACTGGTGGGGATGAGCTACGATGTAGCCACAGTTGCCCTGGGACGCACTGACAGAGGCGTCCCAGGGCAACAATTCTGCATAGTAGCTAAAATCAGCTCCACCCTGTTTGGTTCTGACCCGAGGTTCTACCAGCTGACTATTTCCTAAGGATCTCAGAGCCCTGCTGGACGTATATACAGCAAGATCCAACATGTATTCTGGCCCCATGCCATTGAGTGGTTTATAAACTACTTGAAGTGTTTTGAAATTGATTTTGTTGTTTACTGGTAACCACTGTAGAGATTTAAGAACAGGAGTGATGTGCTCGGTTCTCTTGGTTTTTTGTTAAGACTCTAGCAGCAGAATTCTGAATGAGCTGAAGTTGCTTCACAGCTTTTTTGGGAAGACCAGTTAGGAGACCATTGCAACCGTACAGCCTGCTGGAGATGAATGCATGAATGAGTTTCTCTAGCTCTTGTCTGGACATGAGACCCCTGAGTCTTCTATGTGATGCAGATGATAAAACTCTGATCTAGTTATAGCCTTAATTTGAGCAATCTGAGTCACTTATGACACCAAGATTTCTAACCTGGGTCTTTGTTTTTATTCTTCTGGAGCCAAGTTGAGCAATAACCTCCACCCTATCCTTATCACCAAAGACTAAAACTTCAGTCTTGTCTTTGTTTAACTGGAGGAAGTTTGACTGCATCCAGTCATTGACTTGCTCCAAACACTGACATAGTGAGTCTGGAGGACCACAGTCACCAGGTGATGGAGCTAGGTAGATCTGAGTGTTTAAGTGATGGTTGCACACATACAAGGAGAAGGCTTCACTAAAACCCCTTTTCTTGTGAGCGCAGATGTTCTCGGAAGCACACGTATCCCACAGACAGCCCCACTCTGCTCATTCGGGGTATGTTTACCACGTTTGGAATGGAGGAGTCGCGGCGGGATGATTATGACATCGATGCCTGTTTGGAGCACAGCGAAGAGGAGCTGCACGATTCGTTTCTTGAATTCTATCACGATGTTCTGCCTGAGTTCAAGAGCGTTGGCAGCGTGGTGCAGTTTAAGGTGAGAAGAGAAAAGGCAGCTCTCTGAATGCTTTCTTTATGTCACCTATAGATGGGATTTTGGTTCGGATGAATTCTGTAAGTGGTTTTATTTCTTCAAGATCATAAAGGTAAATGGGTTAAAGCTTTCTGTGTCACCAGGTGGGATGTGGTGGAGTAAATAAAACCAGGAAGGTGTATTTAAAAAAAGATAAAAGTACATTTAGTTTCACCCAAACCTTTTGGTCTCTTAGGTTTGTTGCAATCATGAGCCACACCTGAGAGGAAATGTTTACGTTCAGTTTGCCACGTAAGTTCTCTTCTAGCCATTCTGTGAACATTTCCTAATTTCTGGGCTCTTTGTGGAAATTTGGATCAAATTGAGCTTTTATTTTCCCTGATTATCAGAGAGGAGCAGAGCAAAGAGGCCTTCGTCAAGTTCAATGGAAGGTGGTATGCTGGCCGGCAGCTTCAGTGTGAGGTGTGCCCCGTTACACGGTGGAAAAGTGCCATATGTGGTGAGTTAAGGTATTTTTAAAAAGATTAAGAGTCGAGATAACACAATTTAACATTTTTACTATCTCCCTTGTTTCATTTTCCCTCATTAGGACTGTTTGACAGAAAAAAGTGCCCAAAAGGAAAACACTGCAACTTTCTGCACGTGTTCAGAAATCCTGGCAATGAATTCTGGGAGGCCGACAGGGATCTTCAGATGTCTCCTGACCGCAGTATCAGAGGGAGTCGCAGAAGCGAGCGTCATTCAGAGCGATACAGCGAGCGATCGTGGAGGCAGCGGCGCTATAGCAGAAGCCCGGTGAGATCTGAGAGATCACACAGCAGACGAGAGGATGACAGGCAGAGAAGCAGGAGCAGAGACAGAAGGGCATCGAGACCCCGTCACAGGGACAGGAGGACCAGTAGGCATCGAAGCAGAAGCAGGTCGAGGAGCAGAAGCAGAGACGGAGAGAAAAACAGGCTAAGAAATGAAAGTAGAGGTAAAGACAGGGAGCAGAAACGACAAAGTAGAAGTGAAGAGATATCTGAAGATGAGGACTCTGAAAGAGAGAAGTTGAGAAGCGTGAGCAGAGAAAAAAGAAAGAAACGAAGTAAAAAAAAGAGCCTTAAGGAACCAGATAAAAGTAAGAAAACTCCTGATGGTACCAATTCACACCACCGTCACAAACACTCCAAAAAAAGCAAGAAAAGTAAGAAGAAACACAAGAAGAAAAAGCAAATGTCAGATGTGACGACCTCATCTGAAGACTCGGAAAACGGGAAGTCAGAGGAAGAGCCGGGGGATAATCCTTCACCATAGTCCCAGTGGAGACAGAAGAACAGAGAAAAGCGTTGAAGGTTCAAGTACAGAGGTGAAAGTGAACAAGCTGATTCTGAGATCAAGCTGACAGGAAATGAGGTCGTCGTTTCCTGCTAATTCTTCAGGAACTTGTATATTTATTCCCTCACACCACCGTGTTACTAAAGACTTGTTAGCATGGTCACCTCCTATGTTTAAATAAGTTTTAAATGTTGCATTGTGACCCGCTACATTCCTTTATAAATAAAATGCTTCCAAATCGAGTCATCTTCAGTACATTTATTCACTTTCAAGTGTCAGAAAAGGTGTTGGCAGTGCTGAATACAAAATGATTTATTGAGAACAAATCAAAACTGGAAAAAGATATTTATTGGAGATGGGCATCGACTGATGGGTTGCTGGTTTGTTGCCCTGCTGTTTACTGGGACAAAAACACTGATATGTTCTAAACCACACGCATGTCCACAGACCTGTTTATAACAAGCTGACGTAAGAACACAACGCTGGTAAACTAGAGAAATAACTCACAAAAATCCTCTTCCTGCCACTTTAGAACTTAAGACACCATAAAGAAGATTAAGCACAGTGCTCTTTGGTCATAAGTTAGTTTTTTAAAGTGTCAGCCAGACTTTTACAATTGAAATGTTTTAATTAGGTGACAATTCCATCCCGTCTGAAGACTAAAGGAGCAACAGATTTCACTAGCAGGTCATGAAGGAAAAAGATTCTAAAAAAAAAAAAATTAAAGACATCATTTACAGAAACTTCCTATGCAAAGTATAATACCAAGACTTGTTTTGGATTCTTTAATCCCAAGGTGGTCATGTTACTGTAATTTGTAACAGAATCTAATAACCTTTAAGAAAAATAACGCAGGATTTGAAGCTTCACTCAAATTCAATCACCTACCTCTCATAAAGGAAAATGTAGACAAATAAAAAAGGCATAAAGAAGACTTCTGAAATGTGTTTCTAGTATCCAAACAGAACAAAACCTCATATTTGAATCTATGAAACAACTGATGCAATTTAATGTAGCGAGGACTCCTGAGAGTCCGTGTAAACAGATTTGAACCACTTTTTGCTGTTCGCTATTTGGCGTTTTAATAACTAAACTGCATTCGTCTGCTGTAGTGAAAATCACCATGACCAGCTGAGGTGAGATGCTCTGTCCACAGATTCTGCCATCGCTAACATAAATCCCTGTGATGGGAAAAGACGAGCGGTGCCAGCAGGACTTAAAACATCAAACTCCACCATCGGTGATGATGAATGATCTTAATATCATGCTGGGTTTGTCATGTTCATGCTACATTGCTCTGCAGAGCGAGAAGTGATGCTAAATGCTGCAGATGACGGTGACGGAGCTCGTAGTGAGGAGACACAATAACACCACAGTTGGCACCACACTGAAAGGACATTACAGGATAGTACATAATACAGTACACTCATGGTGGTTATACAAACACAACACTGACACGGTAAATGAGGAGAAGACACAATGGAGGCATGGATGTGATCAGATCAGTGTGAGAAGCAGGGGGATTTATGTCAACCCAATTTCTTCTAAGACACTACGTGGGGCCTCTGCTTCCTGTAAGAGTAAAGAGAAAGTATCAGGACACCTGTCACACATTTTATACATAAAAATATCAGCGTTAGCCACAAAGTCAACACAAGCTTTAACTTGCAAAGTAGACAGCTTTCAGGCACACGGTGATGTGGTGTTTAGGAAATGATCGTACCTCCTGCAATAAGTCGGCTTGCTCGATGGCCTTCAGCACATTCTTTTTGGATGTTTCCTGGGCCTCTCCGCCCAGCAAGAACTCATCCAGGATAAAATAGGCCTTCTCAAAGTTGAAGATAATATCAAGCTCACACACCTATAGGACAAAAGCACCATATAAAAAAACTACAGAAGGTCAGGGAAGATTCCATCTTTGCAGCTTCTCAGCACTACAAATGTGTAATATTTGCAAAACTCACGCTGCCAAAATATTTGTCCAGAAGCTCCACGTATCTATGGATGATTTCCAGGGTGATCAACTCGTTATCTTGATCCTCAACGGCGCAACAGAAGTACAGACTGGCATATCTATTTATGTATGAAGAGAGCAGCCATGCAAAGATCAATAATAGCAAAAAGGGTGGGACAGCATTTGTATTTTCACAACTTACATGCATGTTTGTAATTGTTAATAAAATGAAATCCTAAAACGGTTTCTCACATGATCCTCTATGGCACAAATCAAGCAGCTGGATTCCTTACAAACATGTCCAGATGCGGCCACATGACTCCCATCCTGAATAGCACTGGCTTCCAATCGGTTTCCGAGTTCAGTTACATGTTTTAACTTTTGTGTGTGATGGCTGTAATGGTACAGCTCCCCCTTTAGAGCTGATCCTGTCCTATGTCTCCTCCACATCTTTGAGGTCTGCAGATCACCTGCTCCTGTGTGTCCCTAAATTGCACTACAAATCTCAGGAGCAAGTAGGGCTGGGCGATTTGGCCTCAAATCTATATTGCGATATAATCTGAAGCATGTGCGGTAACGATATATATTGCAATTTTTTTTCCTCTGTTAATACATGTCAAATTGACATGCTTTTAAATATCCTCATGTGACAAATATATGCCACTTGAGGCATATAGGCCTCCTCCTCCGCAATATTGCGGTATTGCGATATAGCCAAAAACACTATCATTAGCCAATTTTTTATCATTTCTACCTTATATCGTTTATAGTGCCCACCCCTAGGAGCAAGTCTCATTTGCCAATCCTAAACTCTAAATTCACTCGTTACATGTATGGCAGGCCCCATTAATAGCCCGTTTTAAGTCTGTTCTTAAGGCCCACTTTTATCATTTATCTTTTGGTCAGTAATTAGGTTTTTCATCTTTTACCATCTGCCGTGTATGTGTGTTTTATTGGATTATGTTTTGCTGCTCACGTGTCTTCATTATTGTGTTTTTGCTTTTCAAAGCCCCTCCTCTTTTAACCTCCTTGTTCATGTGGTGCATTGTTTTAGATATTATACCTTGCTGTGTTTCTATCAACTAGATGTGATGCCGTAATGTCAGACATTGTTGTCTGTCCTGTAACTACGGAGCATCCTTGTTCCTTTGTGAAGTACTTTGGTCAGCTGTCACGATGTTTTTAAATGTGCCATTTACATAAACACGGTATGTATGAGCTACTTTAGCTAACTTTTTCTAGACTATTTCTGAATTTGCTGATGAAGATGCAGTTTTTAAAATAAATCTATAAATATTTTAACATGGCAACAAGTAACAATAAGCATCCGGTTGAAAAGACTTTTTTCTCACATTAATGTTTATATAAATTAGCTGTAGTGAAAATCATAGAGAAACGTTTTTGTTTTTGCAGGTCTCACTAAATTGATGTGAAAAAGCCTGTAAGTGAATATTTTAAGCAGATTATGGTCAATTTGAGGAAAAACAGAAGTGTGTGCATGCATCATCAAGTGTGAGGGTACTTGAATGCCCTCTAAAACTTTTAACTTACCTTTTGTACACAATCTTGAGGTCTCTCCATTCCAAGAAGCTGCACATCTTGGGCTTCCTGGCCAGAATGGTCTGGACCAGGTCTCTCGAGATCTTCTTCCTCTCCTTGTCAGACAGAGGAACATACCATTTCTGTAACCGCAGCTTCCCCTGCCGGCTGAACAACAGCATGAACTGCATCTGAGGAAGGAATAATGATGGTCGACATGTAGATACAAATAAATACGAAGAACAAAGGAAGACTGGATGTTTGAGGGTATATGGATGCGGGAAACTGAACTAATCACGCAGCAATGAACGTGAGGCAAAAAGTCAGTGAAATTAGATTTGACTGAACTGTTTACTAGGATACATGGAGGTACCATTCGATCAAACGACTTTTAGACTCAGTACATAACACACCCGTGAGGCTTTAACATAACGTTAGATTATCTCACGTTAGCTAAGGTCGCTTAATTGTCCTATTTTAACATCTAAACCACGTTTCGTGACATTTGCACCCCCTCCTGCGACGCCTGCTTAGCTACAGCAAACGAGACTGAATACTCATGACTTTTAATTTGGTCTGCAAAACAGTGACTTACACGAACTGAACTTCAGCACAGTAAAGTTAAAAATATTACCATAGAGAGCCAAAAGACACTTCTATCTGTCAGATGATTAGTTCCTCCTTCTGCTCGATGCTAAACTGCCTAGCGAATGCTGGGTGTGAGAACAAGCGCAGGGATTGGTCAACACAGCAAAGATTCTGCAATGTGATTGGTTGAAAGGTTCCGTTATTCGTTACGTTGTACGTCAATCCAGAAAACATTTTTGTATCAGATGTGCTGAATTTCACTTCCACCAGAAACCTAAATGTGTTATTTTAAAAACAACAAGAAACAACCAAACACACAAGGAAGCGAAGACTTTTTTTTAGAGTTAAGCAGCTACATAGATGCGCCCACAGTAATTTCCTATTAATGAGTAAAGTAAAATTAACAGTTGTGAGGGGCAGAGTCTCTCTCTCTCTCTCTCTCTCTCTCTCTCTCTCTCTCTCTCTCTCTCTCTCTCTCTCTCTCTCTCTCTCTCTCTCTCTCTCTCTCTCTCTCTCTCTCTCTCTCTCTCTCTCACACACACACACACACACACACACGCTCGCACATTGGTTTTCTTTTCAGATTCTTCAATTGTAAAACCGACCTCTGCTGGACTTTCGTCGCCCTCAAGTGGCTGGCTGTGGTATTACAAAACAACAAAAGTCTTCAAAAACGTGTCATGGTTGTTTTTCTAATGTTTGTGTTAAAATGTTTCACTTAAAATATGTCTCTATTTCGGCTCTAAACAAATAATAGTAAAGATAATTTTGCATATAATAAGAACTATTCGAAGAGAATTTTCATAAAGAAAGTCTCGCAACTTCAATGTACAACAACAACAATCCAAAAACACTTTGATTAGAATATACTTTATTGATCGCACAGTGGGGAAATTCACTTGCTACAGCAGCGCACACACTTGGAGAAAAAGGAAGAAAACAAATAATAACAAGATTACAGGTAAACACACAAACGCAATAAGCTGTTATTGAATACTTCATCCACTAAAAACAATGAATAAAAATGAAAATTGTGTTTCCAGAACTATACAGCACAAAGGACACAGACATATTAAAGAGCAAGTCACCCCCTACCAGAGTATTACTCCACTCCCACTTCCAGTTTGAAAAATGCTACAAATGCTGTTGCCTAGCAGACTGAAAGGGCGGAGCCACCAACAAATATACACACATACATTTCACACAAATCTGTTAAAAACAGGGTCATTGGCCCAGGTTAATGGTTATGTGATCTGATGGAAAAAACATATTTTAATATGATGATGTCAAATAAATGAATTTACTCAGTAAGGTCCTGACTTTTGAATGAGCAAGAATGATCTTTAGCTTGTTCTGTTGCAGGTTATTTAGAGTCATTACAATTTAAAAATCCTATTGAACTTTTCGTGGAGCTCAATTTAACCATAAAGTTATCCACAAAACACAATCATACGATGCTAAAAATTTCAAAGAATAAAAGTCACAATTACTGTTGTGCAAAATTACAGCATCAGTATCATGAAAGATAAATCAAATAAATAACCAAATAAATAACGTAATATAAAGAAGTGATGAAATAAATAAAATGTATTTTTCATCATCAATATGATTATTATCATATATATTCAGTGCTTTGTAAAATAACATACACCCTTGATTTTTACAGATTTTCACACCTTACAACCTTGTGAATGTTTTTATTGACATTTTCTTAAATAGACCAACACAAAGTAGCATGGAACTGTGATGTGGAATACAACTGATGCATTGTTTTCAAAATTTGAAGAAAATCTAAATATCTTAAGTATGGCATGCATTTCTAACAACCTGATAGCCATAAATAAAATCTAGTGCATTGAAGGAGTGGCGGGGTGCCTGATCGATGACATGCTTCTGTAATTAATCATCTACTGTACACATGCATGAACAGCTGTTAACAAAACATGCATCTTACTTTGATTCATAATAAAGAGATTTAAACATTTAGATGTTATTTACAGCACTTTCATGTTTTTTCATTGTAACTTAACTTTATAGGCACGTCAGAAACTGTATGATTGAGTCAGTGAATGAATGAATGGATGGATTAAGTAAATTGGTGTCTGTCAAAATTGTGTTTTGTGTCATTGTTGTTCAGGTACTTTACTAGTATAAAAGTTTATGATAAATATTGATTTTAAAGTTTATCATGACATCTATGGAAGATAAAGATGACCAACACACTGTCATGTTCTGTGTCCTGCATCCCCCTCATGTGTCTCCTTGTGTTCCCCAGCCTACTCCAGGTTTTCCCCTTAGGTGTTCCCCTAAGGTTTCTGTGCCCCTTTAGGTCTCCTGCTCCCTCCAGGTTTCCCTCAGGTTCCCCCTTAGTGATTTCCGATTTAGTAATCCCATCCCTGTTAGTGTTTTTCTTCTGGTGTCTAGTTTCCAGGTTTAGGAGTTCACTTATTTTTAGTTCTCTGTAGATTAAATTTACCTAGTCAGTTTTCCCCTTAGTTAATTAGTCTCACCGGATCCCTTTTGCTCTCACTCCCCACACACCTGTCACCTGTTTCCCTGATTATTTCCCAGTGTACATAACCCCGTCTGCGTCCAGCGTGTTGTCGGTCCATTGTTTGTGTCAGCGTTGTTTCGGTTCCCTCTCCTGGTCTCTTGGTCTCTAGGTATTTGGATGTCTCTAGGTTTAGCTCTTTAAAGGAGCTCTTCGTGTCTTCGTCTCTTGGTCTCTAGGTTTGCGCACTAGGATTTTTGGATTTCGGTTTTTGGGCTACCTGCCCTTTTGGATTTTACTTTTGGACAATTATTCCTGATAAAAGATTTTACGTTTTTCTACTACTCCTGCCTTGTGTCATCCTGGTTCTGAATCTTGGGTCCTAACCTCCTCCTGGCTTACATCGCGACAGACACTGACTAATTCACAGCGTAGTTCTCAAATTCCTTAGCCTTATTGTATGTTATCAGCACTGTGTGCTTATAAGAAAAAAATAAAAATTTGACTATATTTATTTAATGTTACTGATTTAATGCATTGGTTATATTTTATATTTGCAATATGCAAACTTTTTACACTAGTAATAATGATGATTAGCTGGTTTTAGGGATGCGCCAAACTAATAGCAATGCAGTTGCTTGAAGTGGCCTCACTGTAACTTGTCATTTCTGTTCATCTAATATCTTAGTTTTGTGATAATTTCTATTAATATATTTTATTATTTACTCCACAGTCTTTTCCTGTTGAAAGCAGAGAAGAAAATAAAACCTGTATTCCAATTCATTGCATAGAAGTATCTGTATCTGTAATCAGTATTGGCGAGTACTCAGATCCAAGTATCGGTATCACATATGTTTGGAAAAAAGTGGTATTATTACATCCTTAGCTGATTTATTTATCAAAAATAAATGACGGAGGATAGAATTAAAACCTTTATTTTCCCCTTAGTGGAGATTTTCAGTGTTACAGACAACAGGATTAAAAATGAGGATATTCAATAACATTTCAAAGGAGAAAATACACATTATACAACAGGAGGCTTATTCAGACACTGTGAAAAACTGCTAAGATCCTTCCTACCAGCAGCTAGCAGCATCTACAACAACTCATTGACAAATATGATTTACTTTTGAATAATATGAGTGACAACAACATTTAATTTCCCTTTAGGAAGTAGTTTTGAGCCTTAATAAAACAGCGACAAGAGTGAACATTGCATGGCAAAAAGATACAACATAAAACATCACCAAAACATCTTAATTGCTCTCTCTGTAAAACAACAGCTAAACAGACGCCATAAAGTAAATATTAAACTACTTCTTTAAAACTTCAGGATTTGAAGGACACGGATGTCTGGCGCCCCCTCTCGTTCGTGTATGGAACAGCAAGAACATGATGTACAGAATGGATGTACAGGGACGCACATACGTCGCCTGAGTGACGCGCCGCCATCCACAAGCCGTGACATTTCACTCGGACTCCACAACCGAGACTGCTGACTCCGTGTTTACACTTAAAGGCTGTAAATGTAACACCAAGCGGGGCTTTTACCGTCTAAAAGCATCCGGATGTTCCTCTGCTAGCGAGCTTTAGCAGCTTGAGCAACCTCTGCGGAGGTCAAGCAGGCTCAACCGGACAGAAAGGATGGGTAGAAAGTTAGCTTAGGGGTGAAGCTAAATTTAACTGTTGCTTTTATCACAGAGCCGTCCTCAACAAGTGTTCGAGCTTTAAGGCGGTGGACTTCCTTCTTGTTAGCGAGTCGTGAGGATGAGGAGCCGCAGTAATTCAGGAGTGAGGCTGGACGGATATGCCAGACTGGTCCAGGAGACCATCCTCTGTCACCAGGTGGGTCCAGTCAGACAGCAGCTCAGTGAGCTGTCTGTCCCGATGCATCTGCATCACTACAGCCTTTTACTTTGGAAAAGAAAGTAAATAGCAAATCTAACTTTAACATGTTCTTGATCTGAACATAAATTCAAGCTTTAATTCTTTGTAAAAACACGCATATGCCCATTCCCATTTATAAGTAATAATTGGTTTGTTTTAGTTTTATAACTACTGTATAACTGCTGGATTCTGGATTCCCATGTTGCATAATACTGTTTAAGTTGCACCTGATTAAAGGGCTAATTGGAACCACTTCCCACAGATTAATAAATAAATTCATTAAAGAAAATAAATTGAATATAAATCAGTGTGTTCTTTCGAGCTAGAGCAGTTTATTTAATGTTTTTTAATTTTAAACTATATTTAATCAAAAGTAATAAACAAATGAACATGTGAATATAATTTAAGGGTTAAATGAAAACCTAAGTACATGCAGTGGAACAAGTTCATTGAAACAATTGTGTGAAGTACAAATCAGTCCAGTCCAGGGAAAAGGTGCACAAAGCAGAAAAGAAAGTTTGGGCTCTAGGGCAATAGTCATGGTCTGTAAGGATTTGGTATACTCATGAAAATCGTTCTTAAAATTGTTGGAAGACGGGGCACACTTCTGTATTTTTTTCCTGTGAATGAAATGTATAGCCAGACAGATAATGATGTTGAGCTAGAGCACTTTAGCATCACATGAAATGTTACTGGTAGATGGAGCGTGTTTTCTTTGGACTTTTACTGATCGACCAATTCAGTTTATTTCAATTCAATTCAATTCAATTCAATTCAAAAATACTTTATTAATCCCAGAGGGAAATTGATTGCTGTAGTAGCTCAGAATAATAATAATAATCAAGTCATCAAAGAGTTATTGTATATTACAATGGCTGTTGGCAGGAAGGATCTCCAGTAGCGGTCAGTGTTGCAGCGAAACTGAAGAAGCCTCTGACTGAAGACACTCTTCCGTTGTCAGACAGTCTTGTGAAGAGAATGCTCAGGGTTGTCCATCATTTTCTTGATTCTCTGGAGAATCCTTCTTTGCATTATCTCCTCCAGTGGTTCAGAAACTGCCGAAACTCTGGCTGAGTCCTTGAAAGGGCTTGGAGTTCCTCCATCTTGTTGGCCAGTGATCTCACATTGCCCATTATGATCAATGGAAGAGATGGGTTGAATTTCCTCTTTCTCTGTATCCGTTTTGCTCCCGCTCTGCACCCACGCTTCTTGCGTTTTAGCTCATTTGGGATTTGTGGCTTCAGTTGAGGTATTATTTCAGCCTTTCCAATGTTAATCAGCTGCTCCCGATTGTAAACCAGCTTGTTGCCATGGTTGCACATCAAAACAAATGCTCAAAAAGTGAAAAAAGCTAAAAAATAGCAGTAAAAATCCTCCAAGCTTCACAGCACCAGAAACAGAAAAGTAAAGTGTCCAAAAAATACAGTTTTTCTTGAGAAACTAGAAGAAAAAATGTCCAAGAAAAGGCAAAACTTACATATAGTCAACAGAGCTACTCCAACATGCAGCCACCCAGAGCAGCGCAGTTCTGGGAAAAAAAACATCCAGGTTGGACACGGTTTTGTTATAGAAATAACTTAAAGTGAAATAAAAACTACAATATGTAATTTTATTAATATTTTATTTAATTGAATTAAATTATAAAAAATAAGCTGAGCAAATATATAAAACGTGATAAAAACATCAACATCTACACTGAACTAATCATTCAATTTGATTGTATGGAGTTGCTGTTATCTTTCCTTTTTGTGTAGATCATTCAGACTGTCTGGTTTTTGTTTGTTGTTGTGATCAAATGTTTTGTTTTTGTTTCTGCATACTTATTATAGATATACAGATGTTTTTGTAGCCTCAGCAGGGTAAAGTGCGACTGGAGCAGCAGCTGAGAAATCAACAGCGTCTGAGCAAAGTTCACCTCCTGGAATAAGCTTAGGCCTGGAAAGCGGTGCACCCTTATCTTTCAACTCTTGAGTTCACTTTCATGTTGCCAGCAACTGTGCGCATTTATGACTGTGACAGTCCACAGCTGGTGAAAACAGTGCCAACTTTCCAGGCACAGCACACAGTTACAGTAAATGCCAGGGTGTAGGATTATAAATGAATGAAACGGAAATGGAGTCACAGTTTTTCCAACAAAAATTCGAATTTCTTTGTGTTCACTAGTGTATTATTACCATGGACGTAATTTTGTGTGTGTGTGTGTGTGTGTGTGTGGGGGGGGGGGGGGGGGGGGGGGGGGAAGAGGTCGGGGGGACATGCCCCCCCCCCACTTTTTCCAAAGTCAAGTTTTGACTCCTGCACTTTTCACCATCCAAAAACAATATTACACTATATTAAATTGACATTGGTTGAGCTCTAGGACCAAGCAGAAAACAACCGTTTGTGTTGAAGCCTGTTTCCCATTGGAACTTACCGTAAATCCTCTAATACAGGCCCGGGCCTGTATTTGACTCAAGCTCATCAAGCTCCAGGCCTTTATTGAAAGGAGGACCAGAATTAGAGGCAGGCCTCTAATTCTATTTGAGCAAAATGAACTAATGGTTCGCTGGAGTTTTTGACAATTAAAATTGCGCCCACATTTTCAAAGTTAAACACATTTCTTTTAACAACGGTAGTTTCTGCTTCAGCCAAACCCTAACCCTAACCCTATTTTTCTGTCCTGCCTGTTTATTATCTTCCTGCATCTCCTCTCAATCCTAAAGAAAAACTGCTACCTGGGTTCATATATATTCACCTTATGAGTTACCTTTGAACTGCAGTTCTAAAAGATCTACCGACCGCAGAAACAGCGGAATGCGCACTGCTCGCCGGCCACATCAGTTAGGTGCGTCACCGAGGACAAAACAGGTGATGCGCCCTGATCCACAGCAGCGAAACGCATCAGGCACAAATACAAGAATAAAAGACAGAAAACATAAAAGGAAATGAGCCGACATTAACGATCGCGTGTTAAATTAGTTTTTGAGGTGGCGACACCTGATCTGATAACGTTACTGTGGCTCAGGATGCAGATGTCTGGAGCGCGTCAACAATCAGAGCTGTGCATGCGCAAGCTGGTTAAGGTTAGGATGGGGGTGAGGGGAAGGTTAAATTGCAAGAGGGTAAACGTCACAATTTGGTTAAATGTCCGTTTTATGGCGGGTGTCAGTACCGACGCTCTGGCACAGCTCGTTGCCTCCCGACGCGCAAGAGCTTGTCACCTGCTGTCTTTTCCGTGGACTGCATCTTGCCGGTCATTATCACGTGACAGCAACTAGTCGATGACAGGCATAACAAGTCACTATAGTGCGGTGAAGTCGACTAGTGACTAGTTCATACAACCCCTGCTACTGCTCCCCAGAGTGTTCTGCAGCATAATCAGCACGTTCTCTTTGAACTTGATATCAAATTTTCTCCTCCTCTTCGTCTCCGCACGGTTAAAGTTACCCTCGCGGTCTATCACTGGCAAATCAAAAGTGAGACGGATGACACAACCGCCCCCCCGTACTTGCTTGTTACCACATTCCACCCGGCCACAAAAAAAACCCCGGCCATTATTCACCTCCGCCGACTCTGACACCGGCCAAAATATGATACCCGGCAGTTAATTAAATACAGGCTAATATTAGAGGATTTACGGTAATGTAAAGATACCCCCCCCCCCCCGTCCCCCCACTTCTAAAGTGAAAATTACGTCCATGATTATTACCCTTCAACAAAGTCCATTTTATTTGCTTTAATAGAAATAAAATGATCTTTATGTATAAAGTTAATCTGTCTCAATGTGTCTATAGTCAAAGTGACTGCATAGTACTGAATTTTTAACTATAAAGATTAACACAGAATCAGGTTTTTGTCTTATTTATTGTATTTGGAGAGAAACTGATGAGTTGCAAGTAGATTTTAATAATCTGAACTCAGACGTGAGTAACGATCTATGTGTTGTTTTGAAGTGTCTGCAGATAAATAAGTCAATAACTTGATCAAGTAAAGTAAAAACCTTAAAATAAGATAACATGATCATTAGAAACTGTGAAAAGGCAAAATTTGTTATAAATAACAGAGAAAACCTGTTATTGTTTGCTGTTTTGTACCCTTAGTGTTAGTGTTAATGTACTGATGACATAACCAAGAATTAGTCTGATCCATTTATTTTTACTTTGTTTTATTTGTTTCTTTGATGGGTTTGTTGTTTCTTTCGTATGGTGTGTACATGTAAACGTTTTGTGTTGGCTTTATTAAGCTGGTTCCTACTTTAACAGATTGTGTTCAGTAGGGGCTTCACTGAGGATTTGTGTACCTGTGGAGTCGTGTTTACGGTAACGTTTTGTGTTTCTTCTGGCAGAACCCAGTGACAGGACTCCTCCCGGCGAGCATCCAGAAGAAGGATGCCTGGGTGAGGGATAATGTGTACAGTATCTTGGCTGTGTGGGGGCTGGGCATGGCTTACCGCAAGAATGCAGACCGTGATGAAGACAAGGCCAAGTCCTACGAATTGGAGCAGGTGTGTTTGTGACAGATAGGGAGGGATAGATTATACACCTGAGTGGTTAAACATTCAACCAGATCTATATGAGAAAAACATACAGTAATAATTCACTGGAGTTTAAAATATTCAGAATTGTTGAAATTTTGCTGTCAACTAATGATGCTTTGTTTTTTTTATTAGAGTGTGGTGAAGCTGATGCAGGGGCTTCTGCAGTGCATGATGAGACAGGTGTGTTCTCTCAGATACATGTAATATTGTGATGATGTAACGTCTGTACAAGTCTGTGTTCCGGTGGTTTAAATTGTTTTGTGTGAACATCACAACCAGGTAGGGGCTGCATGACTTAAATTTTTTTTAAGTCGACGGTCAAGTAATGACAATCGAGTCGACTTTGACTAGTCGTTGATGACGTCATACACCTGAAGCGGTGCGCGTGCGGGGGTGGGGGGGGGGGGTCGGTTGGTTCTCTTTCGACAACGGTAGTTTCTGCATATATACTACTCTGCTTCAGCCCTCCCCCCTCCCCTGGCGCAGCGGCCGCAAACTCCCTTATGCGCCTGCAGCCTCTCAGAGTTCCTGCTGCTCTAAACATTAAAATAATTATTTCATTTTCTGTTCCTCACTTCTGATTACCTTCAATGGTGTCTGTTTGTTGCAACCACCAGGTACAAAAACTAACTTGTTTTTATTTGACTATTTTTCTGTCCTGCCTGTTTATTATCTTCCTGCATCTCCTCTCAATCCTAAAGAGAAACTGCTACCTGGGTTCATATATATTCACCTTATGAGTTACCTTTGAACTGCAGTTCTAAAAGATCTACCCATTAGTGATGGGAATTCCGGCTCTTTTTAGAGACCCGGTTCTTTCGGCTCAGCTCACCAAAAAGAGCCGGCTCTTTCGGCTCCCAAGTGGCTCCTCAGATTTTCAGTTGCGTAGAGTACATTTATAATCAAAATAATGCAAAACTATGTGTAAAATGATTTACTAAATTTAAAAAATGCTATATATCAAATATTTATCATTTCTATGGATTTAATAACTGAACACTTTCAGAAATCTCCACTTTCCGACTGCTGGCGCTCATTTTCTCACCGTCTTCGTCACACTCTCTCTCTCTCTCTCTCTCTCTCGCCATTTTCCTCCTCCTCATTCCCTCTGGTCTCCCTCCGCCCGCATGTGCTCTGCTGTGTGTCTGAGTCTTATCCTCCCTCTTCCCCACCCCTACTGCTCTGTGTGTGGACAGTCTGGACACACAGTTACACATCTTGACCAATCACCTGTGGCTTTCACCAAAGCAAAAGGGGGGGGTGGGGGGGGGAGACAGCTCCCAATGACGAGCCGGCTCCCGTCGTTCACTTCAAAGAGCCGGCTCTTAGAGCCGGTTCGTTCGCGACCGACACATCACTACTACCCATCACAAAAACAGCGGAGTGCTCGCTGCTCGCTGGCCGCATCAATGATCGGTGCGTCACCGAGGACAAAACAGGTGATGCGCCCCGATCCACAGCAGCGAAAAGCATCAGACACAAATAAAAGACAGAAAACATAAAAGGAAATGAGCCAACATGAACGATCGCGTGTTAAATTTGTTTTTGAGGTGGCGACACCTGATTTGATAATGTTACTGTGGCCGTGCTCAGGACGCAGATGTCTGGAGCGCGTCAACAATCAGAGCTTTGCATGTGCAAGTTGGTTAAGGTTAGGATGGGGGTTGAGGGGAAGGTTAAATTGCAAGAGGGTAAACGTCACAATTTGGTTAAATGTCCGTTTTACGGCGGGTGTCAGATACCAGAGCATCGCCTCCCAATGCGCAGGGGTTCATCATCTGCTGTCTTTTCCGAGGACTGCATCTTGTCAGTCATTATCACGTGACAGCGACTAGTCGATGACAGGCATAAAAATTCACTACAGAGCAGTGAAGTCGACTAGTCGACTAGTTCATACAACCCCCACAACCAGGTGCCTCTAAACAGTCTGCAGAAAAGCGTTAAGTTCAGGTGACACAGGTGGTGTCAAGAACAAAACAAAAAATATCTATAATGAAATAGTTCATATTGTAATGGTTGTTTTGCTTCATGAACATGTCACACATCAAAGGTCAAAAAGATGTTTAAATGTGTGGTTCACAGAAAAAAACATTTTTGATTACTATTTCTGAATCTAATGGTCATCCTGAGTTTTTCATGCAGGCTGAAGATGAAATGGTCTCCTACACCTATCCCATGCATTAGCTTCTGATAGAAAATAGATGGTGAACCTCTAGAATTGGAAAAGCCTGACAGATCTACATCACACTGTAACTAACATTCATGGACTCACTCATCTTGGCTCATGACGGGAAAGGCTGTTGTTGTTTTAGCGTCCAGGAAACAGCAAAGAACATCTCAACCATTGGAGCTAACTGTTAGCATTAGCAACTCCACCACACAGCAGAACTCCTTCAGACCTGTGTTATGTATGGAGATAAAAGATCAACGTTGCAAAGCAAACAGTCAGTGGTAGAGTTGAGTTGCTGTTAGCCAATCAGAAGAGAGATGTCCAAATATCAGGAAATAAGACTGAAAATCCTGCTGCCTGAAGCTACTTTCTCCACCAGCTGACTTGTACTTCCTGAAACAAATGCGTCTGACCTTTTTTTTTTCCCTCTGAGCACTACTTACAAGGCATTCATTCTTACTAGGGATCACTGCAAATGTATCGATTAAATGAGTGACCCAAACCTTTAAAGGGGCTATATTATGACATATTTTCTAAAGTTCTAATAGTTCTATAGTCTAGATAAACAACAAACATTTGTAGAAAGTACTTTGCATAAAATTCCTCTCACATAAGCAGTTTCAGCAGATTTATTCTTGAGGGTTTCAGTACCTTCCACAATGAGCCGTTTCAGGGCTCTGTCACTTTAAGAGAACAAGCTGAAGCTGGCCACGCCCACCCATCCCTCACTGCTATAGAGCTCCGGGAGTTGGCGTCACTTCTCCCGGCATGCAACAGTTCAAATTGAAACGGCGCCATATTGGCATGCAGAAGCCCGCAGCTGGACTATTTATTATTGTCAGAAAACTCAATCAAACGGGAAATATGGTAGATTCCTGTTGTGCCCCAGGATGCAGAACAGACGCAGACGACGTAAGGAATGAGCCATCTACAGGATTCCCCAAGATCAGGAGCACCGCAAACATTGGATCATTGTAATAAAACGCGCTAGTGACCGGGCTAAAATGAAGCTGTGGGATCCAGAGAGTAAAGGTTTTTGCTTATGCAGCGACCGCTTCATATCAGGTACTTAAACCAACGTTTCCTCAACTGTGTATGGTATTTATTTTAAATGCTTTTATTACGATTCTTAGTGGGCTTCCTAAACTTATTTTGACGTGTTTTTTTCTGTCTTATTACTCATAGCAACAAGTAAACATCACGTAAAACGTTGCCTCGTGATTTCTGCGTGCTGCCGTTTACGTGTTTTATGATCACAGTAATTAACCGGCTAAGCTGTATTTAATTTTTAAGCAATGGTTGATCAATTGTCAGATCACACATAAAAAGCACTTTGGATTGCTATTATCTGTCTCACCGAGACAGATCTCAGACAGATCCTGAGACGCTCCTGCCTGACATATTTATTTTATTCACGGAAAAAAATCAAACTAGTGATTTCTCTTGGCGTTCAGTTTATACATTCAAACAGCACAGCACTCTATTTAAACTACTTACGTGTAAATCTGTTATTTGTCCATCCATCCATCCATTTTCATCCGCTTATCCGGAGTCGGGTTGCGGGGGCAGTAGCGTCGAGAGGCCCAGACTTCCCTCTCCCCAGCCACTTGGGCCAGCTCCTCCGGGGGAATCCTAAGGCGTTCCCTGGCCAGGTCCGGTAAGAAGTCCGCTCCGACAGCTTCTGGCGTTTTTAAAAAGTATCCCAGGGGCACGGTAAGGGTCGGAGAGGTTTAGTCTATTTAATTTCTGACTAAATAAAACAATTTCTTCGGTTTTAAAGTGTGAAGTAAACTCAGACGAAGTAAAATCCAAGCCGATCCCGTTCATTTTGTTTACCTTTGTTGCATGCCAACATGGCGTCTACTCTCTGAGAGTCACGTGACGTCTGGAGCTCTATAAGATGAGCAGCTTCAAATATCAGGGAGGGGCTCGGAGTAGAGCCGCTGCTCCTCCAGCAGCAGCTCGCTCTTGCACATAAGAGGTGGTTCTATTCTAATGTCTAATTGTGATGTCACAAATGGGAACTTTTTTAAACAAATCGTTTTAGGCACATCATTCCTAAAGCCATACACTGACAGAAAACGGATGGACAGCTTTTCTCACGTTTGAAGTGTTTATAGAGGCAGTAAAGACCCGCACGGCAGTACAAAAATATGCTAATGGTGAGTTTTGCGTAGCATGTTGTTGGGGTTATTAGGAGCGAACAATTCGTAAGCTTTAACTTACTTTTGGATTCTTCAATAAATTCTGTAAATATGGGAATATTTACTGATTTATTAATTAATTAAGATATTCTTAGATATACGGGGCACCATTCCCCTTTAACCGGGGAAAAATTGAATCCAAAACTCTTATCAGTCTTTCTTGAAGTTCGTAGAATCCTTGGAGCAGAGACTTCTCTTCGACACAACAAAGCTACTGGAGACGAAAATCTGAATTTTATAACGTTTAATTAACAATTTGTCAAATGAATAAACAGTGGCATAGATGAATAATAACCATGTGATATAATAAAAGGATGTATATTCAAAATAATGTTCAAGGTGTTTTGTGTGTATGTATGTGTGTGTGTTTCTAAAATGGAGTCTGTATGCAAGATGGCTGACCCCTTTGTCTGGCTAAAGTGTGGGTGGCAACATGCACTTTAACTTCCAAAGCACTTAGAATCAGTAGTAACTTAACCTTAAATCACTCAAAACATTTCAAAGGATCATGAAACAACACAAAAGATTAATCACAAGTTAATATATTTTAGTTTATCAGCCTGGCCATGGCCGAAAACATTTAAAGATACCAAACAATGATCAATAAGCAGTTTATTTATTCAAAATGACCCGGCGGACGTGTTTTGGGAGCGAAAGAGGAAGACACGAAGCTACTTTTTAAGCAATAGCGCGGTTTTATTGCTTATTCTGGACTATAGAGGAAACGGGAAGAGAAAAGGAGAGAGAAAAATGTTTTCTGATCACCAGAAGAGCGAGGCGTCCCTCCCTCTTTTGATTTGACGGTT